GTTTGATCGCCAAAAATTTCAACCTTTGAAACCGCTGTGATACAAAAGTACTTTTTATCTTAAGATCCTTGCTAAACAACCTGTATTAAAAGACTTTCCCACGGTAATCTGCTGGGTAGATTTGCTATTTAAACGCCACAACAGAAATTCAAACGGCACCCCTGTGTTGGAAGCAATGTCCATCTGGGTTCAGTTCCAAGTGGGGGAAAAGACACCAGATTCATGGATGTTGCTTGGAAAGATGGTTTATTGATGGACAGGATCACATGGCTTGAGATGCGGGGGGAGAAAGAAGGAGAGATGCTGAGAATTTGCAATGGATGGCTGGAAAGGTTGGAGAATAAGGAAGGCTGAGCACCAAAGAATGGAGGCCTTTGGACTCTGGTGTTGGAGAAGACTCCTGCATTAAGTCCCTTGGACTGCAAGGCCATTCAACGGTCCTAGAGGAGATCCACCCTGACTGCTCTTTAGAAGGCCAGATCCTGAAGAGGAAACTCAAATCCTTTGGCCACCTGATGAGAAGGAAGGACTCCCTGGAGAAGAGCCTCATGCTGGGAACAATGCTTTACAGCCCCTCTCTAAGCGGAGGAGGATGGAGTCACTGAAGCAGCCGGCGTGAGCTTCAATGGACTCCCGAGGATGGTAGAGGACAGGAAGGCCTGGAGGAACGTTGTCCATGGGGTCGCGATGGATCGGACAGGACTTGGCAACTAAGAATAACAACAACATAGAAAAGATATAGATGGATGGATGAATGGATAGATAGATAGATTGATAGGTTAATAGGTTGATAGGTAATTAGATAAGAAAGATGAACCGCAAGCCAATCCAACCAGTTAGTCCTAGAGGAGATCAACCCTGACTGCTCTTTAGAAGGCCAGATCCTGAAGAGGAAACTCAAATCCTTTGGCCACCTGATGAGAAGGAAGAACTCCCTGGAGAAGAGCCTCATGCTGGGAACGATGGAGGGCAAAAGAAGAAGAAAGGGACGACAGAGAAGGAGATGGCTGAATGGAGTCACTGAAGCTGCTGGCGTGAGCTTAAATGGACTCCAGAGGATGGTAGAGGACAGGAAGGCCTGGAGGAACATTGTCCATGGGGTTGCGATGGGTCGGACACGACTTCGTAACGAACAACAACAACCTTCTCACAGTGCAATACAGCCCCTCTCTAAGCGGTTTACAGAGTCAGCCTCTTGCCCCCAACAACCTGGGTTCTCATTTTAACAGAAGGATGGAAGGCTGAGTCAACTTTGTGCCAGTCAGGATCGAACTCCTGGCTGTGGGCAGAATTAGTCTGCAATAATGCATTTAGATAGATTGAGAGATAGAGAGACAGGCATAGATAGATATCACTAGCACTTAGACTTATATACCGCTTCACAGTGCTTTTAATGCCCTCTCTAAGTGGTTTACAGAGTCAGCCTCTTGCCCCCAACAATCTGGGTCCTCGTTTTATCCACCTCGGAAGGATGGAAGCCTGAGTCAACCTTGAGCCAGTGAGAATCGAACTGCAGCCAGCAGTCAGCAGAAGTAGCTTGCAGTACTGCACTCTAACCACTGCGCCCCCACTTAGGCTTATATACCGCCTCATACAGCCCTCCCTTTACAGAGTCAGCCTCTTGCCCCCAACCATCTGGGTCCTCGTTTTACCAACATGGAAGATGGAAGGCTGAGTCAACCTTGAGCTGGTCAGGATCGAACTGCTGTCAGTGGGCAGAGTCATCCTGCAATCCTGCCTTCTAGCCACTGCGCCACCACCTCTCTTACCAATAACTGTTCACAATGACCACTAAAGGTGAAATTCTCTCTTAGGTGCGGCATCGCTTTGGCCTTGAATAAGCTTTCCCAGCACCTGGAAAGCTCCCAGGTGAAGCCCCTTTTCGAGTTCTTTGTCCCCGATGCCCTCAACGATCGTCACCCCGAAGTTCGGAAGTGCATGCTGGACGCTGCCCTCTCAGCCCTTAATACTCATGGCAAGGTAGGTTGGCATTCATCCAAAATCTGATAATCTCAGAACGTTGACGGTACAGGGAGGTTCCCATTAGGGAACGAACCATTAACATTTGAGTGAAATGTGGGTGTAGCCGACAAAAGCCAGGAGAACCCGTGGCTTAGAGGTTAACACATCTACCTAAATAGGCAAGCAGCCCGGGTTCGAATCCCCGAAAGGGTATGGCTAGCTGACGAGAGCTAAATGGCTTGCAATGGATCTGCACTAGTCTCTCTTTATTTCTTTGTTGGTAAAATAAAAATTCAACACAAAAATACCTTGTCGCGAAAGCGACTGCTTGCGAAGTATCCTTCTTCCCATATGCCTGGTAGAGCTGACAAAGCGAGGAGAACCTGTGGCTTAGAGGTTAATACATCTACCTAATATGTAAGCAGGGGCGAGGTGACTCAGTGGCTTAAGACGCTGAGCTTGTTGATCAGAAAGGTTGGCAGTTCGGCGGTTCGAATCCCTAGCGCTGCATAACGGAGTGAGTTCCCGTGACTTGTCCCAGCTTCTACCAAACTAGGAATTCGAAAGCATGTAAAAAAAATGCAAGTAGAAAAATAGGGACCCCCCTTTGGTGGGAAGGTAACAGCGTTCCGTGCACCTTCGGTTTTTAGTCATGCCGGCCACATGACCATGGAGACGTCTTTGGACAGTGCTGGCTCTTTGGCTTTGAAATGGAGATGAGCACCGCCCCCTAGAGTTGGGAACGACTAGCCCATATGCACGAGGGGAACCTTTACCTTTAATATGTAAGCAGCCCGGGTTCGAATCCCAGAAAGGGAATGGCTAGCTGACGAGAGCTAAATAGCTTGAAATAGATTCTATACTAGTTCTCCCTTTAGTTCTTTGTTGGTAAATATAAATTAAAAACAAAAATAGTTAGTTGTGAAGGCAACTGCATGCAAAGGCTCCTGGGTTGGGGCTGAAAGGCGAAAGGAAAGCCTTATGCTCTGTCCCATATCCCTGGTACAGCTGACAAAGTGAGGAGAACCTGTGGCTTAGAGGTTAATACATAATATACAAATTGAACATTGGAGTGAAATGTTTGGGCGTCGTCTCAGAGAAGCAGCCAAAGTCTGGACAATTGGATCTTTTGTTCAATTCAATCCAATCATGGGGTCCTTGGTGATCTCTGAGCTTCCACTTCTTGCTGACGCACTGATGATGTTACCTAGTTTGGTAATGAATGACCTGGGAGTCCAAAGTTACGTTTTTCAGCTATCCCCTGTTTTCCATGGCCACCCACTTCCTCTGGCTCCTCTCTCTTTTTTCCCCCCAGGAGAGCGTCAACTCCTTGCTGCCAGTCTTTGAGGAGTTCCTCAAGAATGCCCCCAACGATGCCAGCTACGACGCCGTCCGGCAGAGCGTGGTCATTCTCATGGGGTCACTCGCCAAACATTTGGACAAAAGTGATCCAAAAGTAAAACCCATCGTGGCCAAGCTGATCGCCGCGCTCTCTACGCCATCCCAACAGGTGAGCCTTCCTTGGAGATGTTTGCTGAGATGTTTGGAGATGCTTGGAGATGTTTGCTGAGAGATGAGCATCTTTACTTTAGAACCACCTACTAAATAAGACAGGTTCTTATTTTCTTTTGATACACCCTCCCCCTACCAAAATAAGCACTTGGCCTTAATTTCGGGGAGGTCTTATTATTTTTGAGGTGCAGAAGGTGGCGAACGTGGTCACCTAATGGCTGTTGCTATGTTGCAATATTTTCAGGCAGGGTTTATTTTAGCGCATGCGCTCAAAAGCCCAACAATGAAAGGGAGCTACGTTGCTTAGGAACTCACAAATGTTTTCATCTATCTATCTATCTATCTATCTATCTATCTATCTATCTATCTATCTATCTATCTATCTATCTATCTATCTATCTATCTCTTTCCTTCCTTCCT